TGCTTCCCATACCTGCCTGAGTATGAGGATCACCTGAGCTGCTGACTTACAAATACAGGTCTCACAGTTCCTCCTGTGGAGGACTCCTCCTGGGAGGGCTGCCTGGAATGTTTTGTTTTGTTTTTTAATAATTATTTTTTGAAGAATAGATGATTTACAATACTGTGTTAGTTTCAGGTCGGAATCTGTGTTTTAGACAAGCCCTCCAGATGATCCCCGACATCAGGCAGATCTGGGAGACACGGGATCAGAGCGGCACTTCTCCAGCCTCGATGTGCACACACATCCCTCTAGGTCTTGTGAAAATGCAGACTCTGATTCAGTGGGTGGGTGGTGGGGCTGGTACTTTTGCTGCTGGTCCAGGGACCCCACTTTGAGGGGCGAGGGATTAGAGGTACCTTCCACCTCCCTCCTGAGGCAGCCACCAGCCTGAAATTCTGCAAACCCCAAGGCAGGCGTAGCTCCCTGCCCTGGTGAACCCAAGCACATATGCCAGGGGTGTCTCTGCCCGGTGCGCCCTGCTTTGAATATTCTTTGCTTTCACATTCTGTCTTTCCTAGCTGTTACTGTAAATGATACCCAAAACCGGCAGGTGGGGCACGCACAGGGCAGCAGAGCTGAGTGGGCTCCCCGCTCTCCCCGCCACCTGGCTGTGGCCACCAGGTCGCCGTGAGCCTGGCTAATCAGCTTCCAGCGTGGAAGCGCAGCTCCTCCCCAGCGAGGCTTTTCCCAGCGACGTGTTTCAAGTACCAATTTGGTGTCCTTTGCGCTTCTGATCTCGCCAGCCTTTCACAAGCCATTCCCTTGAATGACGACAAGCGATCTTGATATGCTGGGTTAAAAATCTTTCAATGGGGGCTCCTTTGTTTACGAAGCAGCATCCATTATCACGGATTTCCAAACTGGCTCCCTTTCTACTGGCGTCGGCATCCGGAGCGGCACCGTCAGCCGCCAGCTGCGGTGACAGCCACGTTTTGGTGTTGCTGGTGGGCCTCTCAAGTTCTGGGGGTGCGGGGGGGGGGCAGGCATGTTTGGAGTGTAAGAGATGAAAGCACATTGAAACATCTGTGCTCCCGTGTTCAGACGCTCCTGATCTCGCATGTTTTATTTGGAGGCTGTTATTTTGAGGCACGTGGGGAATGGAGATCATTGTCGAGAATGCGTGCGGGGGGAAGAGGTGGGTTTTCATGGCTCCCGCCCACACCCCAGGCTGTGCTCACTTCGTGGAGGGGAGGCTGCAGCTTTCATCAGCTACCAGCGAGGGGCTTCTTGGCAACTGGGCAGAAGTGAACCTCAGCAAACGGTGTGGGCAAAAAGAGAAGAAAGTCAGTGGGAGACGCTAGTCTTTTTAAAAATTTTTGGCTGCGTTGGGTCTTCGTTGCTGCGCAACGGCTTTCTCTAGTTGCGGCCAGCAGGGGCTTCTCATTGCAGTGGCCTCTCTTGTTGCGGAGCACGGGCTGTAGGCGCGCGGGCTTCAGTAGTTGTGGCTCGCAGGCTTAGTTGCTCCACGGCATGTGGGATCTTCCCGGCCCAGGGCTTGAACCCATGTCCCCTGCATTGGCAGGCGGATTCTTAACCACTGCGCCACCAGGGGAGCCCGGGAGATGCTGGTCTTGAAGGAGAGCATTTGGCTCACGTTTGACTCTTTTTTTTTTTTTAATTTACACATTTTCCAGAAGCAGGTGTGGAGAGACTAGATGTAGTAGATGGCCTTTGAATAACAATTGCAGGAAGCCCAGCTCAAACTGGTTTATGCAAAAGAGATTTATGTATTCATGTCGGGGAAACATTGAGGGGCGTTTGGCTTCAGGTACAGCTTGATCCAGGGCACCAAACAGTGTCTCTCACCATCTCTCTGCTCTCTCGGGGTGGGCTTTATTCTCGGGTAGGCTGTCTCTGGGTGCAGGCCCCAGGCAACCCCAGGCTCCCGTGCCAACAGTTTAGCAGCCCCAGAAAAAGTGAAGCTCCTTTCTCTCTGGCAAGCCTTGGGGCAGCCTCTCATTGGCCTGGCTTCGATCAGGCTGCACCCTGACCCAACTTCTGTGGCCAGGAGGAGCTGGCACTCAAATTGGCCACACCTGGGCCTCCCTCATGCCCAGCCCCACAGCCCGGGGATGAGATAACTCCAAACAAGTCATAGGGATAAGTGGGCATCGGGGTGGCTCCCCAGAGGGGCTCAGGAAAATCGCCAGGAAGCAGTGTGAAGACAGAGTGCGGCATCTGGGGCGGCCCAGCTCTGCCACCTCCTCACGTCAGCTGTGGCCACATCCTTCATTGCCCTGTGAAATTCAGACCGGTGACTCCTAACCCTTTTTAAGAACCAGGACCCTTTTGAGAATCTGTTGTGAAACATGGATCTATCCCTTCCCAAAAATCACACGTACTCCATAGTTTGTGTGTAATTTCCAGGGGTCACAGGACCTTCAAGAGTGCCTGGCCCAGGTGTTCTCCAAGGCAGCGGATTCCAGGCACCGGGTGTGGGGAGGGGGGAATACTGGGCGCCCTCCATTGTCTGCTGAATCAGCATTTCTGGGCCAGGGTGTTGGCATGCAGCAGAGTCACAGTCTCCCAAGGGGATTCTGATGCACCTGGTCCCTGGGAATCAGGGAAACGCCGATCCCTTCCAACCCCGGAATTTAGCATCATTCTCAACTCTACCAGTTGGTTGAGTTTTTTGGCTGGGATGGAGGAAAGTCAGTCAGGAGGCAGAGAGAGTATATAAATAGAGCACTAGAATGGGGTACCACCTGTTCACTTATTCCTTCCTTTCCTGAGTGCTTCCCGGGTGTCAGGACACTGGCTGGGGGCTGGTCATTGCTCTGGCCCTAGGGGTGGCACCTGGGCCCAAGAGGCTGGTCCAGGGCCCATGGGGACCAATGTGCCACTGGACCCACTAAAGCTTGGCCTCTTGGCAGCCTGATCAACACATCTGGTGAATTCCTGGGATGCCGGTGAAGGCTTCTTGTTCACTAACTTAGGAGGAGACAGAGGATCCACCCTAAAAATACTCCCCACCCAACTGTGAAGGGGGGAAATCGCTGAGTACGTTTTTCTTACACTTAGAGGTGCTTTTCGCCTGAATTTACTTACTCGGAAGTGACATGAACAAGGTGTTGGGTGCACAGTGAGGCTGTCCCCGCTACCGCTGTCACGGATGTCGTCCCCAGTGGAAGTTGCATCAGCCATGGGATGCTGATGTCCGAGATGACGACTCTGTTAAATGTCCTGTCTCAGCCCTATACGATGGGCTGGTGAACACAGGGCCTCACTGCAGAGCCTGGTACACAACAGGCACTCAATAAACATAGGCATGAATTAATTAGAGTAATGAATAAACAGTAAGTGAGCCATAGAATATTCTAGAACTTATTTTTTTAAAAACAAACGGAGATGGTTTGATACCAGAAGACAGGCCCTGGATTAGATCTGTGGGGAAGAGCTAGAACACTTGGTCCTTCACCCCGACCCGCTCCCCCCAGCCGGACCCCAGTCAGAGCGGTGGCACCTCCCACCAGTTCCATTTGCCTCCCGACTGACACGGGGCGGTAATGCTTTGCGGTAGGGCCTGTCCTACACAGAGTGAGAGGCTGAGCAGTACCCCTGGCCTCCACCCACTAGATGCCAGTAGCACTCCCCCCGCCCCCTGTTGTGACAGCCACAAACATGTTGCCAAATAGCTTCTCAGGGCAAAATCAGCCCTGATTGAGAAACTCTCTCCTCAGGTTTTATATAAAGAAAGGCTTCCCAAGGACAGATATCGTATTGTATCTCTTGTATGTGGAATCTAAAAAAAATGGTACAAATGAACTTATTTACAAAACAGAAATAGAGTCACAGATGTAGGAAACAAACTTATTGTTACCAAGGGGGGAAGGAGAGGTGGGATGAATTGGGAGATTGGGATTGACATGTACACGCTACTCTATATAAAATAAATAATTAATAAGGACCTACTGCATAGCACAGGGCACTCTTCTCAATACTCTGTAATGACCTATGGGAAAAGAATCTAAAAAAGAATTGATATATGTATAACTGATTGACTTTGCTGCACAGCAGAAAGTAACACAACACTGTAAATCAACTATACTCCAATAAAAATTTTAAAAGGAGGGCTTCCCTGGCGGCGCAGTGGTTGAGAGTCCGCCAGTCCGGGAGGATCCCACATGCCGCGGAGCGGCTGGGCCCGTGAGCCATGGCCGCTGAGCCTGCGCGTCCGGAGCCTGTGCTCCGCAACGGGAGAGGCCACAGCAGTGAGAGGCCCGCGTACCGCAAAAAAAAAAATTAGAAAAGGTAAAAGAAAGACTTCCACCGCCAAAGAGGAAGGGAATTAAACCATTTGAACTAGGGGTTCAGGAGATGGATTCTCAGGCAGGCCCAGTCGGAGTCCTGAGTTATCAGAAGTGAGAGCTGTGTCTTTTCTGCTGGGACTATTGATTTTGAGGGTCCTGCTTCCTTGGGTCCAGGACTCCTCTGTGAAAGACAAAGTGAGGAAGCCCTGCACTAAACTTGTCACATGCTTCTTTTCCTTACATCTTCAACACCAGCAACTATCACTGCACCCATTTTGCTGGTGAGGAAACTGAGTCTGACAGAGGTTGTGTTAGTGGCCCAAGGTCGCCCAGCAGGTCCACAGTGGAGGTGAGATTCTAACCCAAGTCTGTGTGACTCCAGAGAACACGCTGTCCTGCCACAAGGATGGGGCATCTGCTCCCCAAAGCTCACCTGAGTGATGCCCCCCCCCCCCACAGAGTCCCCCCTACCCCCGGGAGAGATGGGCGCTGGGCACCATCCCTGAATCAGGGTGCGGAGAGCTTCCAACGGCAGGGCGGCCGCGCCTGCATCTTTCCCAGGTGACCGTCCAGAGTCTGATACTCCGAGCCCTGAGTGATGGCCACCGAGGCTCCACCCACTCTCGGGGGCTGATGCCCACCCTGGTCTCGGACGCGTCCAGCCTGCGGTTCCCTCCAGCTGACCATGGTGCTTGTTCTTCCTCGTAGGGTGTTTTTCCTGAATGTGCCATTCGATTCCATCATTGAGCGGCTGACCCTGAGAAGAACCGACCCTGTCACAGGAGAAAGGTTTGTGCCAGGCTCCACGCCCCACCAGGGACCCACTCTCCCTATGTAGCTGACCGATGCCAGGGCGGGGCTGCTCCAGGGATGACGCCAGTGACGACTGACAGAAGACTCTAGAAAGGGGGTTCCCCCAGCTATTGCTCCTCTGTGCTTCCTGTCGGCCCCTCTATTCCTGGAAGAGCAGCAAGAAAATTAATGTCCGGGGCTCTACAGCAGTTGTTGAAATGTTCGCCGGCTCTGTCCTGGGCTCAGCGGGTGAAATGGCGCTCCAGGCCTCTGCTGTGACCACAGTACATCCCAGATGTGGTTGCTGTTCAGACGCGTCCCCTCGGGAACCAGTTCACCTTCGAGCCCTCCCACAGCTACGGGGGTAAATCCTGAGTTTTATTCTGCATCTGACCGAGTACAATCACTGTGTTGGTGTTGAAATCCAATTTATAGTCTCTGCGATTGCAAAGAGGTAGAAGCTTCCATCTTCCCAGTAATCAAGGCCCTGTTTCTTGGTCACCAGACCACGTTTCTCAGTAGGGAGTGAGGAGGGGCTCGAAGGAAATACCAGGATTTTCCTGAACTATAGGTCTGATCTGTCGCCTTGCTGCCGGGGGACATCTTTTCACTGACCTGTGTCAAGTACCATGACCTTCACGCTGCCATGCCCCTGGGGTCTCTCCAGCAGTGACGGTGGCACTTCCCGTCATCTCTGCTCACACTTGGTGTTATAATGTCCCATCCCCCGTTGGACTGTGAACTCCATAAAGCCAGAGGCAACTGCCTTGCCTGCCGCTGCGTCGTCAATAGCAAGTGTGTACCAGGCGTCCATGGTAGCTGATAAATACCGTTTGGAATGAGGAAGAGAAGAAAGGAGAAAGGAAGGGAATGAAAGGAAGAAAGGCATCCGGCCCTCGGTATATTACTATATTCTGTCCTATTACTGACCTGCATGTTTCCCTCCTGGGCAGGGCCTAGGCTTTGGGTCTCTCTGCGGCTCCCGGACCCAGCTGAGGGTGTGCACACAGCTGGTGCAGAGTAAATGTTTGGTGGTGGTGGTGATGGTGACCAGCTTGCTCGGCAGTAGGACAGAGGGCCCCTTTCTGCCCTGTCCTCTGAGCTGGACCAGGGGTCACCTGCTTCCCCTCCTCTCGCAGGTCCCACCTCATGTACAAGCCACCTCCGACCATGGAAATCCAGGCCCGTCTCCTGCAGAGCCCAAAGGATTCTGAAGAGCAGATCAGGCTCAGAACGGAGCTGTTCTACAGGAATTCCGCTGAGCTGCAGGAGTTCTACGGGCAGGCCATCACCCTCAACGGGGACCAGGACCCGTACACGGTCTTTGAATACATAGAGAGTGGGATCATTAATCCCCTGCCCAAGAAAGTTCCCTGATGGCTTAAGAGCAAAGGAGCATCCCCCAGGGGAACAAAGTTAATCCTTCTCCCCCGACCTTCTGGAAACTCAGCCAAGCCAATAAAGAGTGCGGAGTGCAGTCTCGTGTGTCCTGAAGGTGAGGCGGCCAGAAGGTTGCCTCGTTTGGGGGTCTGGGAGCACAGGACAGGCAAAGTCCCGGAGACCAGTCAAGCAGAGCGCTGCGGACCAGGTCAGACCTGGGATGCGCTGTGGCTCCAGCACCAATGTGCTGTGCACCCTGGGATTGTCACCCGATCCTCGGAGCCCCTCGTTTCTCACAACTAAGACGGGGTAATAACAGTCCCTGCCTCACGGGGTTGCTTTGGGACTAAACGGGATGAGGCTGGTGAAGCGCTCAGCACAGAGCCTGGCACAGGCTGTGCTCTCAGGAAATGCAGTTTTACCGAAGCCGCTGTCTCTAGAGCAGCCTGTCCAGTAGAGCTCTCTGGAATGAGGGGCATGCTCTCTGACCGTCCAACACGGCACGAGCTGCAGGTGACTGCTGAGCACGGGGAACATGGCCACTGCAACTGAGAAGATGTTTTTAAAATTGCCAAAAAGAAAAATTGTCCTTGACGTTCGCTAATTTAAATGTAAATGGGGACTTCCCTGGTGGTCCAGTGGTTAAGACTCCGCGCTTCCGATGCAGGGGACCTGGGTTCGAGCCGTACCTGGGGAACTAAGTTTCCACATGCCAAGCAGTGCGGCCAAAAAAAAAAAAAAAAATTAAATTAAATATTTCCTTGGTAATTGAAATTGATCTGTGGGAAAAGTAAATTTGCTTAAAAAAAAAAAATGTAGGGACTTCCCTGGTGGCGCAGTGGTTAAGAATCCGCCTGCCAATGCAGGGGACACAGGTTCGAACCCTGTCTGGGAAGATCCCACATGCCGCGGAGCAACTAAGCCCGTGCGCCACAACTACTGAGCCTGTGCTCTAGAGCCCACGAGCCACAACTACTGAGCCCGCACGCCTAGAGCCCGTGCTCCGCAACAAGAGAAGCCACTGCAATGAGAAGCCCGCTCACTGCAACGAAGACCCAACACAGCCAAAAATAAATAAATAAATAAGTTTATATAAAAGAAAAAAATGTAAATGTCCACATGTGGTGAGTGGTTGCCATGTCAGGGCAGCTCTAGACACACTTAGCTGTTTCCTGAGACCTGCTGGAGCCCCTCGGAAGGCCTGCCTTCACCTCCCACCGAAATAGCCCCTCTGGGTCCCCCAGAGCCCACAGGACCAGGAGGAGCCCCTGGAGGGACAGGACAGTGACATCTTAGGCTGACAGAGCTCTTGATCCTCTTTCATGAGCCCCCTCCCCCCACCCAGTTATTTTTTTTTTCCCTCATTAGAAAGATACTTGGGTGATTCCCTCCATCGACAGCAGAGGACACTAAAGCCGCAGAGGGTAAGTGACTTGCCCGAGGTCACCCGGATCCATGGCACACCTGAACCCAGTGTTCTGGTGCTCTCTGCCTGCGGGCCTCAGCAGGCCAGGCCAGCCGGGGCCCAGGACTCCAGCCTCCGGGCTCTGGGCAGCTCGGGGACTCTACGCCTAATGGCTAAAGCCCCTTCCAGCCTGGAGCAGCCCAGAGTCCCTCCAGCAAAGATCTGACCCTGGCGCTGGCCACAGTAGCCAGTGACGTGCCAGCCAGCAGCTGGGGTCCTTGGAGCCAGGCCTCCGGGCCTGCCCTCCTGCCTCTGCCCCGTCACCTCAGACTGAGCCCTGGGCCTGCCCTAGCACCTCCCGGAGCTGGGCCCTCTCTCCAGAGGCAGCATCCTGGCCTCTGCACCTCCCCCTGCCTCGTGGCTCAGCCTCCCGACTCTCTCTCCCCTCACACTGCGCGGGCACCGGGTGCCACCGCCTGAAACTCCATCAGGGCCTCCCCTGCCCAGGCCCCACTTCCCCCCAACCCCTACAGGGAAAACAGCAGCTACCCTGAAAGTCCCCTGACAGCGGGCTCCTGCGTATTAGGCCTCCTCAGGCCCTGGGAGGCCCCGGGAGAAGTCCCGGGTACAGACCACAGGGCCAGGTTGCTGTGATGAAACTCTGCCCACTTGTATCCGGCACCCCCTGACTGCAGGAGACAAAAGCAGGGAGGTGGCCAACACAGGCCTGCCTACCCCTCTGCGTGTCACTCCGGGTACCAGAGAATGTGGTCTCGCTTTACTCAGTGAAATGCCATTTGGATGTAGATCTTTAGCCAAGGACGTCATCAAATGCTCATGTACTAGTTCACATAGCAAGGCTTACTTTGTGGACGACCTCCTCTCTGGACTGCCCACACCCTTACCCCGCCTCTCCCTCCACCTGCCCCACCCCGTTAGAGCAGCTGTGCCAGCTCTGCGCCCCCTCTGTGAGGCAGGTGATGTCCCCGCCAAGAGTGTAGGTCCCCATGCTGCTGTGTGACCTTGGGCAAGTTGCTTCACCCCTCTGGATCCTTGTAAAATGAGAACAAGTAGTCACTGCCTCCTAGGCAATACTAAGCTTATATGGTGGGATGAAGTGATGAATACATACACCAAGGCTGAAAATAGGGCACGTAGTACATGCTCAATAAATGCAGCCCTTCTCAATTACATTCTCACAGCTCCCCTTGAGGTCAGTGCTGTCTTTAATCCCTAGATGAGGAAACTGGGGCTCAGAGGAGTCAAATAACTTGTGAAAGGCTGTGCGTGGTAAGTGGCAACAGGGGTCGGGACCTGAGTCACTCGCTGGTCCCAGAACTCCACGTGATGACCGGCGCGGCACCTGCTTCTCGCTCCGTCGCCGTCGAGGTTGCCAAGGGCCCTGCCTTTACCCCGGGGGAGCTCGTCCCCGCCGCGTCCCGGCGTCCCGAAGCCCCTGGCATCCTGGGTGCCCCGCGGCGGGGCCTTGGTTGGGCTCCGCGCCACCCTGGACGCGGGGACGGGGCTTCATTGAGATGTGCTCCGGCGCGCGGTTTCCGGGCGCGCCCTCCGGGAGTGCGGTGGCCCTGCCGCGCCGCCGGGTTGGCCCAACACGCTCCCGCTCGTGTAGATAGCTCCCCCGGAAACGACGAGCAAATAGTATTCATCTCACCCCCGCGACGCACAGTCCCTCCCGCTGCTTTGCATAGCAAAGCTTCCCCGCTCCAGGGTCGCAGGCTGCCGGGACAAATTAGGCTCTTCTAATTAGAGCCCTCAGCTCCAGGTCGCGGCCTAATTGGGAGGCCTGGCTGGAGTGTATTAGCATCCGGTTCCAGCCGCAGTGATACTGGCTGGGGGCTTCCTGGCCCAGGAGAGGCGGAGTCCGTGGCTGGAGGGCAAATGTGTTAATTTCCAGATCAGCCGCTGTGCTTGAAGTTAACCACTGAGGTCTGATTAAGGTAGCTTGCAGAACAATCGCTGATGCTGTCATCATTAAAGCAGCTCCCTCGTTCATTTCCAGCCTCTTTCATCATGTTGTCACCACAAACTCTTTTCCCACCCGACACCCTGGCTCACGTCTGTGTGTGTTCGGCCCCGTCCCTTCCCTACTCCCCACCAGTGGGAAATCCCGATGGTACAGAGGCTCCTTTGGGGTGTCTGCCTGTCCCCACCCTGCGGCCTCCACAGGGGTTTCTCCCGTGGGGCCTGCACCTGACTGCTGCTGCTGAGACGAGGGTTACACCTGTACTCTGAGCTGGCCAATCAGCTCCTCTCTCCCAGGAACTTGGAAAGGACTGAGGGCAGCTGGTCACTCTCTTCTTGCGGCTTGGAGGAAGGAGCGGGTGTCGGGGTCTGTCTGGCCTGTACGTAGCAGAGCAGTGCAAGTCTGCGTGGAGGAACCGAGAGAGAAGCAGACACGTGTCCGCCCCATTCACCCAACAGGTATTTACTGACTGTCTACCGTGCCGGGCACTGGGGATGTAACAGAGGAAAAAAGGACAAAATCTCTGCCCTTACGAGGCTTACATTTTACAAAGAAGATGACAGAAACGAGAGAGAAAAAGAGGCCACCTAATTTCTGATGGTTCCTGAGACCCATCTCTGACCCTGGGTCCCATGAAACAGCCCTGCACCCTCCCAGCCAGCTCCGCTTTTTTGTCTAGAGGGTCAGACAAGGTTCCTGGGCACGGGGGCATGGTTAGGACTCATCTGGAGGTGTGCCCAGGGCCAGGGGAGCAGGTGACAGGGAACTTAAATGTGGCCAGGACTCACAGGAGACCCCCTAGGGCAGGTGAAGGTGGCCTGGGGGCTGACTTCTGAGCTACAGGAGAGTTCAGAGGCATGAGAAAAAGTGACCTATTAGTTGATCACGGAATATGCTTCCATTAAAAGATTGAAATATAATTTTTTTATTTTTAGTTTTTTGCTGTACGCGGGCCTCTCACTGTTGTGGCCTCTCCCGTTGCGGAGCACAGGCTCCGGATGCGCAGGCTCAGCGGCCATGGCTCACGGGCCCAGCCGCTCCGCGGCACGTGGGATCCTCCCGGACCGGGGCACGAACCCTTGTCCCCTGCATCGGCAGGCGGACTCTCAACCGCTGCGCCACCGGGGAAGCCCTATAAATATTTTTTATTATTAAAATGTTACTTATAAAAAACTCAATACCTCTGAAGCCCATCGCTTAGGAAGTGAAACTCCCATCCTCGCCACGATAAAACCCTCCCTTATTTGCCATTCACTAGAGATGACCAAATTTAAAAGTTTGAAGGGAGGCATGGATGGATGCATGGACAGACGGATGAACGGACGGGTGGATAGATAGGTGGGTGTGAGCACAGCAATGGGACTGTATTGTATATACTACCCTGTTACCCACTTTCGTAAAGAACTGTGGTAAGAACACCTAACACGAGGTCTACCCTCTTACATTTTTCAGTGGACCGTATAGTGTTAACTGCAGGCTCATTGCTGTAAGCAGCTCTCCGGGATTTATTCATGTCACATAACTAAAGCTCTATACCTAGGGAAGAGCAGCCCTGCAGTCACCCCACCTCCACCAGCCCCTGGCAACCACCAGGCTTCTCTCTGCTTCTATGAGTTTTGACTATCTCACTTTTTTTTTTTTTTTTTTTTTTTTGGCCACGCTGAGCATCTTGCAGGATCTCAGTTCCCCGACCAGGGACTGAACCCAGGCCACGGCAATGAAGGCCCAGAATCCTAACCACCAGACCACCATGGAACACCCGAGTTGGACTATTTCAGACCCTGCATATAAGTGAGATCATGCAGTATTTGTCCTCTGTAACTGGTTGATGTCACTGAGCATAATGTCCTCGAAGTACATCCATGTTGTCACATAAGGCACCTTTCCTTAGCAAAACAGTTTCCTGATTTTTTTTTGTTCACCAGCAATCCAGGGCCATCAAATAAGCTACTGACCTACCAATCTGGTCATTCCTTCCCCAAGGCAAGAGGGCTGAGCTCTGCTCACAGCCGTCACTTCTGGTCAACTGTAGGCTGGTTTTTAGTGATACCCATGTGGTGAAGTCCAGTTTTTCCTGTTAAGCTCTTGTTGCCTTTGCAAATCTTTTCCACCTGATCCCTGGTGGAGGTTGGAATGACAATACTGGCATGTAATTTACATGTAACTGAGCTACTCTCAGAAACAGCCGGCCCTCCACTGATCTCCAGGCGGAGAGGAAGGACAAACAGGGACCTGCTCACAGGCCCAGGTATGAGGTGCTGTGCGTCGAACCTGCTGCCTGGGATTTATGGGGAGGTTGAAATGCATATGTGCCAGCATTAGGGTGTCATTCACAATGATAACTTTCTGTGCTCTTTACAAAACCACGAGAGCTTGGAGATCATCGTGTGTGATGGAGGAAGCTGCATGAATATAAACTTTCTAGCCACATCAACTTTACTGAGATATAATTCCCATGTTGTAGAATTCATCCATTTAAAGTATGTAACTTAACTGGTTTTTAGTGTATTCACACAGTCGTGCAACCATTCTTACTAATTTTAGAACATTTTGTTACCCGCTAAAGAACCCCCGTACCCATTAGCCATCACTCCCCATCCCCCCGACATCTAGCTGTTAGCAACCAGTAATCTACTGTCTGTCTCTCTGGGTTTGCTTACTCTGGTCATTGCGTATAATTGGAATCTTACGATGTGTGGCCTTCTGTGACTGTCTTCTTGCACTTAGCATAAGATTTTCAGGTCCATCCATGTTGTAGGATATCAGTACTTCTTTCCTTTTTAACGAGGAATATAATATTCCATTGTAGGGATGTCCCATGTTTTATTTATCCATTCATCAGCTGACGGGCATTTGTGAGCTGTTTTCACTCTTCAGCTGTTATGGAAAACACGGCTATGAACATCTGTGAACAAGTTTTTGTGTGGACACATGTTTTAATTTCTTTAGGTGGATATCCAGGAGTGGAATTGCTGGGTCCTATGGTAACTCTGTGTTTAACCTTTTGAAGAACTGCTGGATTGTTTTCTGGATTTACCTTTTTACATCTCCATCGGCAGTGTCTGAAGGCTCCAATTTCTCTCTGTTCTTGCCAACACTTGTTATTATCTGTCTTTATAGCCATCCCGGTGTGTGTGAAGTGGTATCTCATGGTGGTTTTAATTTGCATTTCCCTGATTGCTGATGAAGTTGAGCATCTTTTCATGAGCTTGTTGGCCATTTGTATGTCTTCATTTGAGAAGTGTCTATTCAGGCCTTCTGCCCATTTGAAAATTGAGTTTTTCATCTTTTTATTATTGAGCTATGAGTTCTTATATAGCCTAGATGCAAGTCCCTTATCAGGCATATGATTTGCAAATATTGTCTCCCGTTCTGTGGGTTGTCTTTTCACTCTCTTGATGGTATTGTTTGTAGTGCAAAAGTTTTAAATTTTGACGGAGTCCAATTTATCTATTTTTTCTTTTGTCACTTGTGGTTTTGGTGTCACACCTAAGAAGACTTTGCCTAATCCAAAGTACATACATTTACTCCTATATTTTCTCTAAGAGTTTCTTAGTTTTAGCTCTTACATTTAAGTGTATATAGTCCATTGTGAGTTCATTTTTCTGTATGGTGTGAGGATGGGGTCCAACTTCATTCTTCTACATGTAGATATTTTAGCCACTTTGAAGAATGTAATTTTGTATCCAAGCAGCCTTCTGGGAGAGGCACTCTCTCAGTATGTGAAAAGCATCTGGAACACTTGCTAAAATGAAAATCCTGGGCTCCATCCCTGGAGATTCTGATTCAGCAAGTTCAGGGTGGGCCCTGGGGGGCTGTTTTTCTAGCAAACATCCTATTATTGACCTGTGTCTGTGGACCTGAACTCTGGGGATCACTGCATGGTTTTTGTGGAGGATCCTTGTGGTCAGAACATGGAAATTCAAAAGTAACTGGAGACATCCATCCCTGGCAACGTGGCAGATTAGATATCCTGGTGACCCTTCTTAAAACAAACCCCTACAGATTCTGAATGAAGTATGAAAAAAACCTCTAAAATTATAACTGAGCTGGCAAGAAAAAATAAAAAATATACAGAGACCAAAAATGATAAGAACGTACAAATCCAGATAGACAGGGGAGAGCTGACCAACAGAGGAGCCCGGGAAGTATCTGCTGACCCCTAGTGGCCCAGGGCTTCAGCTGAAATGGTCTCTGCATGGAGACTGGAGGAAAAACGCAGTCCCTACAGGTAGAAATAGAGCGGCGGAAGAAATACGTTTAATTAAACAGGGTTGCTGTCCAGAATATGCAAAGAACACCTCAATATTACCAAAATACAAGCAACCAACTAGAAAAGTGAAAACAGACATGACCAGATATTTCACAGAAGGAAACATGAATTATCAGTTAACTACAGTAGATGGAAAATGCTTAACCTCGTTAGTAATCAGAGAAATGAAGATTAGGGTCACGGCGATAGCTGCCTGCTACACCCACCACCAGCGTTTGACAAAGGCATCACCAAGTGTTGGAGAGAAGTTGGAGAAACTGGAATTCTCCTGCAGTGCTGGTGGGAGGGAGCATTGGGTTTTAACCATTTGGAAAACCGTGAAGCAATCATCTACTAATGCTACACGTGTCTGCCCCTCG